GACTGGCAATGATAACATCTATTGTCCCTTACAAGAGGAAAAACACGTGTCGAGTCTGCTAAGAAGACTTCTAATGGCTGGCGGGTAGTCGTTGAAGCGGTCGTGTTCTCCGCCTGTTTTCTAGATTTCCTCCGGGAAAATAGTCATACATAGTTCGATATTAACACATTAGGAGGCAGACATTCTTTTGCACAGACGCGCATACATACTTGAATTTTTACATACATACATACATACATACATATATATATATATAGAGAGAGAGAGATGTGTTTATGTAAGAGAGTCATAAGGGCGTATACCAAACATACCCTAGTGAATATACAAAACCGTGTTTATACTCAAATTTAAATGTACAGAACCAAAAATGTTAATCTCTAATCCAATATTTACCCTGACGGCATTTATATCAAACTAAAACAAACTCTATGAAAAGTCTCAAGATTGGTACGATTGTCATGCGTTAATTTTCTATACAAGCTCAGGTTTGCTTTCATCATTTTTCTTTTGCGGCATATCAACACCTCTAAGGGTTATTTAATGTCAAAATCTAAATATGAATTAAATTTTAATTACTTACCTGTTTTTTGTATCAAATCTTACAAAAATTAAACGAGGATTTAAATCATTTCTTCTTACATGAAAAAATTTAATCATAGTTATTTGTTTATTTTTTTTTTCTCTTTTTCTTCGATTTTACTATAAAAATTATTGCAACATGCCGACGGAGGATAATTGGTATGTCCCCATTCACATAAATACAGTAGTAAATACTGTATGTTGGTCTGCAATTGGAGATACGTCTCCAGCTGTGCTGTTCAAACTCTCTGCCCGGAGGCAGAGAGGATCCTCAAACGAGACTATATCGAAGCGCAGAGTCTACTCCTGGGAAACAGCAACCTGACCCCGTTTTATACGATGTCCACAGGGAATTTTTGTCCGAGTCTACAGTCCCCATATAAAATTAGGCCTTGTGCCACATCTGACCGCGTGGGATAGTTGGTTGATATCCTGCAGTTGGTGATTCATTGTCAGATTAACTTGACTAATTTCTAGCAGTTGACTGCTACTTCTACGCGACGCTGGCGAATCTTATATATGTTGTTCTTGTCCTAAGTATTATTGTTTATTAGCAACCTTTGTGTGATTATTCTATTCAGTAACCTTTCCTAGGTTACAACAAAAATGTATTTTTATACTTTCCTAGTGTTTTGACTCCAGTGGGGGTGGGGTAACTATTTACCCATAGCTGAGACCTTAACAAGTGCTATCATCCCGGATCAGGGTGGATCTAGGAACAACAGCAATTAAGAGTTGGTTCCACGCTCCTCAAAACTTCCCGGTCAGAGCCCTTGCTGCCAAATATAGTTTATCGTCTTACACAAGATTAGCTCCTGGGAAGCGTCTTACCCCTTTACAGTAGTCTGCGTATTCTACAGCGCCAGCCGACAGGGCATTGTACAAGCTTTGCGAGATAGGGTTGCCGGTTATTTTACGTTTATACAAAGGACATAAAAATATATTCATGAATAGTCATTTTAATCTAATTCCAGTTATACATTATATCTGAAAATGATATCGTTTTTTTTTTTTCTTCTTTTTTTAAGCAAATCGTCCCAAGCAAGGCGGGAATGCCACTAGCACGCAAAGAGTTACAGAGAGTGAGTGTAAGAGTAAAGAGGAGTGTTCGGGAAAAGGATAAAGAGAAGGACAGGGATCAAGGTCAAGGCACCAGAAGATGTCGATTGACATTACATTTGAATATTTGAAGATTATAGCTATCAGGGAAGCAAGTGATAGGAACGGAGTTCCACTGACAGGAGGTGCGAGATAAGAAGCTGTTGGAGAAGAAGAGATGGCTACATTTAGCCGTTTCAACAGTGAAAGGATGGGACGAAGATGCCAACCTAGCAGCACGCTTAAATTCATGCAGTTCCAAATTCAACAAAAGACAAGGTCTACACTTTAGCTGTGATCGCTTATCCGTAGCACTGTTGTTGTCAGTTAGTATCATTATTGTTATAGTTGTTGCTTTTGTTAATTTTGTATACGTATAGGTCCACAGACTCGCCACGTTAGGTATTACTGTTTTGGTCTCCGTGGCAAGGAGTTTTTTTATGGTGTAGAATATTATTATAGTAATAATTTTAATTTCAACTAGAAAGAAGGAAAGACTGTACAGGGTGCGATGGTTAAATTGTCGTCCTTTTAAATTTGTGCATGCGTGTTGCTTCTTTTTTAATTTTGTCGGTTTCAAATTATAGTAGGGTCAGTTGGACGCGGTCTGCTAGAAAAAGAACAGAAATTTGGAAACACCATGCTGTACTGCTTGGTATTAGCGCCAGAAGATCGAACACAGACATTTCAGAGTGTCTGTCAATCTGAGGAAAGTGAAGAAGATTCGGTTGATTGAGTTTAAAGGTGATTATGAAGGTGTTTGGAGTGGTCACTAGTGCTGGTGATGTTATGATTCCATTCATATTCCCACAGGGCCTCAAACTAAACACGCAAGCCTACTGTTGTGGTCAGTTATTATTGGCCAGACAGAAAGACGCAAGAGGGTAGGATGAACAAGTGCATCGAAATAACAGAACATATATATGCAAAATAAGAGTGTTATTGGTCAGCAGATCGAAGTGTCCGTCCAAACTGTCAGGTTACACTGAGTTCCGACTGCCGATATTTAACAGTTCCCCACCACGAGGAATGTATGTGGTACAAGGCCGAGTTTAACGTGGGTTTCTCCGAGCCAGTAGGCTCGGCCAAAAATATTACCTTAGAACCCGCATAAGCGGGTTGGAATTCATTATTTCCCGGACGAAAGCTTTGCCGAAGGGCAAAGCTTCGTCCGGGTTCCTCCCTGCCAAAGCAGAGAGTTCGACAGAAGACGCACAAGGTCAGAGACTTCGTGTCGACTGCCGATATTTAACAGTTCCCCCCCCCACGAGGAATGTATGTGGCACAAGGCCGAGTTTAACGTGGGTTTCTCCGAGCCCGTAGGCTCGGCCAAAAATATGCCCTTAGAAGCCGCATAAGCGGGTTCGGGATCTGTCTACCTCCCCGGACGAAACTTTGCCCTTCGGCAAAACCTCGTCCGGGTTCCTCTCTGCCCAAGCAGAGAGTTCGACAGAAGTCGCACACAGTCAGAGACGGCGGGTCGACTGCCTGCCTTAGGAAGTCTCGCAGGTTAGTATTTATGAAGGAGGAAGAGTTCATTCTAATGTAGATAGGTCACTATAACACCTACATCAAGTTCTTTCAGTAGATAGTGCTGTCCTAAGTCAAGATGTTGACTGTTGGAAAACCTTATGTCTAGCAACAGAACTCTGCATCATATCACATAATCACCGGACCACAGAATCGTGGCTGTCAGACAATTTCTGCGGCCATATCACCCATTGCATCTGACGTCTAATTTAGACGACAGTTTATCCATCGCACCCAACATATAGAAATTAACACTGCATGTCAGTTTCACATTTTCCGCGACCAAGCACCGTTGTTTATGCACACAGGCTTTACACCTGCAAACGCTCCATCACAGTTATTCAGCACCATTCCTCAGTGAATATATCAAATTTAAAAAAAAAAAATAGGTATATGTATGTGCGAGGAGCACTTTGACATGGTGTAATAGTTAACAAGCTTGTCTCGCTAGAATAATTACGATTGAATAATGAGATCGATCGTCATCCATGCTTTTGGCTTTGTGCCACATCTAAATTACTGCTTTGAAAATCACCATATATATGTATTTTTTTTTTTTTTTTTGCATATGTGCGTCTGTGTGTTCCATTTACACTTATGTTCCTGCTATTCATGTTCAGGTTTCGCCTCAATACTCCCAAATAGGTAATGGAAAGAATAGCTTTTCCATACAGAAAACTTTCGACATTCCTTGGTTGTCAGAAAAATAGGCTTCCCAAGTCCAGTAGCTGTTATCGCTCTTTGCAGTATTGATATGGCTTATTTGTTGTAGTGTGGAAAGTCAGCGTCTTGATTATGTCATTGTTTTGTCTTCGGGTTACACGTGATATCACTTTTAGTTGTGGCTGCTGTTAAAAGTCTCCGAGTGATGTGTTTTTGTTATTTGATAGAGTTCTTCATTTGTGATTCTGTAGCACCAGTTTACGAGATCTGATGAAGAATGTTCCTCTCGACAGGTTTTATTCGCTCGAAGCAATTTTTAATCATTGATCTAAGAAACGATTGTATAGAAATGATAGTTTACATATTTCTGAACAGGTTGGACACAAATTACCACACACGTATGAAAGTCTCAATCTAACGAGGCTATTTAAGAACACGACTTGAGTTCTTAGGTTAATCATTCGGTTATGTAGCATCTTGCTGTATTGAGCAAAACTACTCGTAGCTCAGCCTGTTCAATGTTCAATTTCCATATCTTTTGTACTAAATTTGTTACAATTGATCCATAAGTGTTTGAAGTATTTGTTATTTACTAATTTCAAATCTTGAATTTTTATAATGGATTTAGGATAGGCGCCTCCAGAGATTTTATGCCATATCATATTGTATTCCATATCATAGCTTCTGTTTTGAAAAGGTTTATTGCGTGTCCAACTTCTTGGAAACCTTGGTAGAAGGTTTTGATTTTTCGTTCAAGGTCTTTCTTATCCCAAAATATGAGGACGTGAGCATTATCAAAATCAAACGATAGTTCAGATTCAAATGATATCCACAATCTCGGTGTTAAATAACAGTGTTGTCTGTCTTGGATACCGGCCAGTCTAGAAGAAAGGCAAGTATCAATTTCAAGTTATGAAGGAGAAAGCCTATAAACACTCCATTATATTTCCTAAGAAACCAGATCAATTCATCAATCAGTATAGAGCCAACGTCTTCAAGGGCCTTGGAATTAAAAATAGATATCAATGATATAGGTGTTGTGTATGATAAAAGTTAAAAGAATGACGTTTTAATCACGACAAATAATTTTAATGTTGTAAAAACAGTCTAAAACAAACCTCGAGCCATACATCACGTTGAAAACATCGGTTCCGGTATGATCAACGAAGTTAAGCAAAGTCGAACTTGTTCAGTACCTATATGAGTGACCACTTGGGAATTCCAGGTGCTGTAAGTTTAGAATGTGAATGCTGTAATGGATAATAACTCGGAATTTTTAATCAGAAAACTGGGTTCGAGTTCCCGTTGTGTTCGTTATAACCATTTACGCGCAATTACCCTTCAAAGTTGTGAACTTATCTCCTCTCCCCATATATGGGTTAATTCGTAAAATTTGTAATACTAAAACCATTATTATTTTAAGAAAATAAAATTACGTGCAAAATATTTGGATTTCGGCATTAAATAACCCACAGGCGTGTTGATGTGCCGCGAAAAAAAACAAACAACTAACTAAAAATTCGAGTCATGTTCTTAAATAACCTCGCCAGATCGTGACATTCATATGGATGTCATGCATGACGCTAGATTCTTTCAGAAATATCTAAAATGTTAGCTGTATGCAACCACTTTCTCAGATCAAGGGTTAAAAATGGCTTCCAGCGAATGAAGCTTGTAGGTCTTAGCCAGGAGCATCCATTTTGGAAACTGGGTCAAATAGCAGAAGCCACATCACTTGTGGATTTTCAAAAACAGTAATACCTAAAATGAATAGCACATGTAACTTGAATGGAAAATAAAGAACGGCGAATGTTTCCTTATAATGAAGCAGCTAATATTACCATTTATATAGATATTATTAATAGAAATCTTATAAGTATAAGAAATTATACTCGCTCGGAAAACCTTCGGTGTCTTGATTTGCAAATAAACAAGCTAATACCAAAGGGAAAAAAGGTATAAAAAAAGAAAGAACCAAGAACATGTACGTTAGCCGAAAATAATCGTCCAGAATGCAAGTCCAAAGCCCAAAGAAAAAAAACCCGATGCGAGTACTTAAAATAACTAAATAAAGTACTCAATACAATAAGTAGAGCAGACCAAGTTAGTTAGTTTAACTAGGTCTGCTCTACTCATTTATATAGATATACAGGAACCAAATGTTGTATCTTTTCGTATCTATCAATAAGAGATCCCCCGCTTTATATAAACGATTACTTATATATTTCTACATATATAAATGATGTTTGTTATTAACATGCAATGCCTTGAAAAGTTGCGTTCTTACATAATAGCATTGCCTTAAGATATACTATTGGTATCAGCACAAAAAGATTTCCACGTCATGAACAGGATGTTGCAACCAGAACAGCATGACTTTCGATATTGTCTGGTTAAGATGCAGACAGGGAAAGAGAATCCCAAAATGAGTTTAAAAGATACACACGCTGGCTTGATAACAGGAAAAACGGACGGATGAACACTGGCCTCAGCAGTACAAATGGTAACGCCTATGGTAGTCAGGAAAAAAAATGGCAACGGAGAAAGAGAGGGTTCTGGGGGTAAAACTAAAGGTTAGAAAATTCTAGAGGAAAAAAAAAGGAAAATAAAATACAAACTGTAAAAGCTAGTAGTCGACAGTTGTTTCCTTATCGCAAATATTTTCCATCCCCTAATTCTTGTTATAGTCACCCTCTCGTTTTGTTACTTTCTATCAATCAGATTATTTTCTGTCTCTTCTAATATATATATATATATATATATATATATATATATATATATATATATATATATATATCTCCTTCATTATCTCTCTCTCTCTCTCTCTCTCTCTCTCTCTCTCTCTCTCTCTCTCTCTCTCTCAAATATATCTATCCCACCTTCTTCATATCTATATTTCTATTTCATTCCTTTCTTGTCTATCTCAGTCACCCTCTCGTTTTGTTACTTTCTTTCAAACAGATTATTTTCTGTTTTCTATATATATATATATATATATATATATATATATATATATATATATATAAATAAAAGGCTTAAACACAAATATTCCATGGTCATAATTTATTCCATTGGAATCGTAAATACGATCAATTCATCAGACCTAAATTCAAAAAAAAACAGAAAAAAAACAACTCCGGAAATAAAAATAGAATTTAGAGAGTGAAAGTATGAGAGTGTGGGACGAATGTTAGAGCTAAAGAGAGGGGTAAATTCTATTTTTATTTCCGGAGTTGTTTTTTCTGTTTTCATTTTGAATTTGTAGGTCTGATGAATTGGATCGTATTTACGATTCCAATGGAATAAATTATGACAATGGAATATTTGTGTTTAAGCCTTTTTTTATATATATATATATATATATATATATATATATATATATATATATATATATATATATTAGATAACAATAATAAATTATGACCATGGAATATTAGTGTTTAAGCCTTTTATTATATCCTTACTCTGTCCTAGACATTGAGTTCTACCTGGATTCTATCCTCTTGGAATTATTTTTATACAAATATACATTTATGTGTATGCACCTATGTATATATATTTATATATTTTGCATATGTATGTGTATATTTACCACTAATGTTACCTATATATATATATATATATATATATATATATATATATATATATATATATATATATATATTTCTGCCATCTCACTCTCTCCTTCACTTCCTCTCTCTCTCTCTCTCTCTCTCTCTCTCTCAAATATATCTATCCCACCATCTTCATATCTATATTTTTTCTATTTCATTCCTTTCTTGTCTATCTCAGTCTCTTCATATATCTGTCTATTTAAATATGTTCATTCTATCTGTCTGTCTGCCTCTTTCGTTTCTGTCCAAATCTGTCAGTCAGTCTATCTCAGTTTATTCATAGCTGTCAGTTTGTCTGTCTCGGTCTGTTCATATCTATCTATATCTTTCATTCGGTTCATATATGTCCGTATCCCAGTTTGTTTATATATCTACGTTTGCATATATATCTCCCTAACTATATTCGTTTATCTCAGTCTGTAAATATCTATCTATGTATATCTCCCTCGCTATATATATATATATATATATATATATATATATATATATACAGAAGAGAGAGAGAGAGTCTGCTCATATCTGTACTTATATCTATCATATATATATAGTGATTTTCCAAGTGTAGCTTAGATGTGGCACAATGCCGAAAGTATGGGGCACCCTGTGAAGATCGAACTCACTACTCGTAATTGTTCTGGCGAGACATGCTTGCTGACCATTACACCGCCTCGAGGTACCCTATCATATATATCGAGAGACAGAGAGATAGTCAGGAACACAAACAGACAAACAGAGATATAGATATGAACAGAGATAAAGAGAGACAGGTAGATATGAAATGAGTAAGACAGACAAACAGGCATAAACATAGATAGGAACGAACACTCACACACACACACACATACACACACACATATATATATGTTGATATCTATCTCTCTGTATGTCTATCTGTTGTTCATATCTATCTTTCTGTCTATCTGACGCCGTAGGTAAATATATATATGAAAAGAGTAAGATGGACAAACAAGCATAAACAGATAGGAACACACACACACACACACAGACACACATGCACACACACACATATATATATATATATATATATATATATATATATATATATATATATATATATATATGTTGATATCTATCTTTCTGTATGTCTATCGTAGGTAAATATATATCTTTTTATCTATCTTTGTCCATACACGTTTGTCTATGTCACTCTTTGCATATCTGAATGTCTCTATCTCATATATTCATATCTATGTATGTATATATCTCTGTCTATTTCTATCTTTCTATTCATCTATTTCATTTAGTTAAACACACACACATATATATATATATATATATATATATATATATATATATATATAAAAAAAATATATATATATATATATATATATATATGTATATATGAGCATTTCATTCTGTATGTTCGTCTCTCTATACCTCAATTCATATCTATCTGTCAGCATCTCTCTGTAAATATTTATATACCAGTCATATATCATTATATCTATCTCTCTGTCTGTCTATTTCCTGTCTGTACAGATCTGTTCATATATCTATCTGTTTGTCGGTTTGTCTATCTCAGTCAGTACATATCTATATATCTATCTATTTATTTCAGTCCATATTTGTCTATCTTCCTGTCTCACTGTGTTCATATCTGTCAATTCATCTGTCTGTTCATATCTATCTATCTATCTATCTATCTATCTATCTATCTATCTATCTATCTATCCCTGTATCTTCATATCTATCTATCTATCTATCTATCTATCTATCTCTATCTATCTATCTATCTATCTATCTATCTATCTATCTATCTATCTATCTATCTATCTCAGTCTGTTTATTATCTATCTATTTATCTATCTCAGTCTGTTCATATCTATCTATCTATCTAGCTAGCTATCTAGCTAGCTAGCTATCTGTTCATATCTATCTATCTGTCTATCTTCCTACCTATCTATCGAATCATTTCTCTCTACTCTCTATCACTACCCTTCTCTCTACTTCTCTTGTACTTATTCCCTTACTTTTTTTGCATCACTTCTTTTACACGAACTCCTTTACCCACCCGCTCTTATCGCAATATTTCATCTTGTTTCCCTGTTAGCCTTTCTATAATTCCTCTCTTCCTTCTCACACTTTCTCCCTCTTTGAACTTGTTGTTCTTTCTCTCTATTTTAATCCTCTTTTTGTTTTTTTACTGTTTCTTTTCCTTCCACTCTTTCTTCTGTTCTCCTTCCTTTCCTTATGGAACAATTCACTTATAATATGTTGTCCTTCTCGCTTCACAATATTGGCATCAATATGCCATTTTGAAAATCCACTCAACACACGCTCCGACACACTAAAAGTCATGATGAACAGCAGAAGATCAACATGTGTACGTCTAACCGGAGCCTATATTCCGGAACCCCTGGGGAGTGAATGACATTCAGAGACATTACCAAAGCCAAACTGCAAAGGCAAAAACATCACCCGAGTAAAAATCTAGCACATTCCCCGCTTTATTTGTGTATTTTGGCATTTTCTGTGTTGCCAAAAGCCAGCAAATAATGCGCACACCAGGGTAACCGACAGGCATATTTGAGGTGACAAAATAACAATATTGTTTGCCATATAAATGTCTATCCCAAAAGCAATATTGTTGTTCAGTCGAGAAAACTAATATAAAGATCATTTAGAAATGGAAGACTGGCTCCCTCACTGCGTTTAATAAGCAATTCACAGGTGATTACTGCTGTAGAGAGTCCGATCATCCTCAGGTTTTCAGCCATATATTCGCAAAGACTATTGCTATTGTAAGGATTTCTTTCATGTAAATACGTGCCATAAAATGTAGGCCTGGTGCTAGACAAATTTAACTACAACGAACATATGCTTTATCTGCTTAATATGGTGAAAACCTTATTCGCGTACACAACAGTAGGAGGGGTCCTATGAAACAATTATTTTTTTTCTAAAAAATATCTGTCTGTCTATCCTAGTCTGTACAGATCTCTTCCTATATCTATCTTTATGTTCGTCTATCTAAGGCAAAAAATCCACCCGATGTACAAATTACAACGACCTTTTAGTTGCAATAGCAAGTCAGTAGCACTATGAGCACATTTTTTTTTTCTAATTCTTTAAGGCATGGGCTACCAGGGATTCCTTCAGTGAGTCTATTGGAATCTTTTCCAATCAATCCGAGTGCTCCAACTACAACTGGAATTGTTAATGTCCCCATTCGCCACATTTTTGAGATTTCGATTTGAAGGTTTTTGTATTTTGATAGTTTTTTGAAGATCTTCAAAAACATATTGCAGTCGGCAGGAACTGCCATGTCAATAAGGAGGCACATTTTTTTCTTTGCGGTTTCTAATCACGATGTCAGGGCGATTAGCTTTGATTGTTCTGTCTGTGTGTATTGTAATGTCCAATAAAATTGTTACAGGTCCTATCTCCGTAATCGGGTCTGGGTGGTGTTCATACCAATTTCTTGCAGTTTCCTTTCCGTAAGTATAGTAGATTTTCCAGTGAAGATATTGACCCGCTCTGTCGTGCTGTGTTTTATATTCAGTGGGTGCCAATACCGCGCAACTTCATACAAAATGGTTAATTGTTTCTAGATGTTTATCACAGAATCTGCATTTTGGACGAACACAATTTTTCAGTATGTGTGCTTGGTAATTTCTAGTTAGCAAGTATTGATCCTTTGCAGAAAGATTATTATTATTATTATTATTATTATTATTATTATTGCTGTTGCTGTTGTTCTTTGATGATGATGATGATGATGTTAAATTTGTATACTCCTTGAGGAGTACAAGCCCACAACCTCGCCACGCCAGGTGTTAATGTTTTGGTCTCCATGGCAAAAATTTATGCTACACTAAGATCGATACTTACGGTGTGTTTCAGAGAACAACAAGCCCTATCAGGCAAGACGTTTTCTACTGTTTGAACTCAATGCTCAATGTGTTTAGTATAAGGACAATATTTATCAATTACATTTTTTTTTACTGTAGTGAGATGGATTTTCAAAGTGTGATTCGAAGATTCGAATGAGAACAAAACCTATCATGCAGATTATTTTTCTACAATATTTATCTGTCTGTCTATTTGTCTGTCTACCTCCATAAGTACATATCTACACATCTATTTATTTCTGTTCATATTTGTCAGTTTGTCTATCTCACTGTATTCATATGTACCTCCCTATTTATCTCAGTCTGTTCGTATCTATATATCTATCTATCTTTGCTCCTACCACTACTCTTACTCTCTCCTTCTTATTTTGACACCGCTCTCTCGTCGCAATGTTTCATCTATTTCCCCTGTTAGTTTTTCTATAATTCCTCTCTTCCCTCTCAAACTGTCCCCCTTTTAACGTGATGTTCTTTATATCTATATATCTTTCTATTTATTCCTGTTCATATTTGTCTATCTACCTGTCCCACTGTGTTCATATCTACCTGAGTATTTATTTCTGTGTGTTCATCTCTCTAACTCTCTCTCGCTCTCTCTCTATTTCTCTCTCTCTCTATATATATATATATATATATATATATATATATATATATATATATATATATATATATATCAGTTTCTTCATATGTATTTATCTCCCTTTCTTTCTATTTATCGAATTATTTTTCTCAACTCTTACTACTATTCTTACTGTCTACTTCTCTTTCATGTTTCTTTATTGTCTTTATTTCATTTCTTTTACACGATCTCTTTTACTTTTATGTAAAGAACGTAAGAACAAAAAACTATCAAGCCTCATCGTTTGCTATTGCAGTGAGCTCAATGCACACAGTGTGTTTTGTATCAGTGCAAGGCCTATCAAGCAAATATTTCTTTATTTTAGAGAGTTACACCCATAAGCACAAAACCTATAAAGCAAATCATTCTATTGCAGTCAACTCGATGCAGACGGTGTGTCTTATATAAAAAACAACATATATCAATCAAATCTTTCTTTACAGTCGTAACCTTGTTCCTCACTATGCTTCACATAATAACAAAATAACCAAATATTTTACATAGCAGTGAAATCGATGTAGACATTTTGTTTTGCATTTGTATATGAAAAAATATTTTAAACAAGAAATTGTTTAATTGTTTATTACAATAAAATAATATCACGAATTCAAATTTTTACAGAGAATAGAAGCAGATAATCAATCATTTTAGTTTATGTTAGCACGTCCGATTCTTCAAAATATATTTAATCTCTTAGATTGTATTTAAGTTTCTCCCATTAAAGGAAATAAGCATTCTCTCACTGAAATGGTTATTTCTTTAAAAAAAAAAAAAAACCCTGAAAAAAACATTTGGACATTTTCTTGGCCACCATTCCCAGAATTGTAAACTGGAATCAAGAAAGCGGGTCAACAGCCAGAAAAATTGAAATTGGGAGATAAAATGCACTCAGTTCCAGTGGCAATGGAAAAATGCTCAAAATGGTTTCTACTAATAGGAATCAGAAAATCACTTCTTTCTTTTTCTAAACTTTTATATCCAATGAAGAAAAATATCTCTGTACATACTATCAGGATTGCTCTAACAGAATTTGAAACTTGAAAGCGTTCCCTAAAGAAGGACAAATATATTTATCTGCGATATATTAAATAAAAGTATTTTGCTCTAAACTTTTAAGAGATTAGTCAAATTTATATTTTCCTGTAGAAAAATATATTGAACTGATAAAGAAATGAGATGAGAATTGTAACAAACATTTTAAAGTTAGTATAATCAATTCAAACAGAATTTTTTATGTAGCATATTTATCTGCATAAAATGTCAATTATAAAAAGAATCAAATGATGTTTATAAACGGAAAATCAGCTGGTTGCAATTTTTTTGCTAAGAATCGATGATTTTTGTTTTAGCCAATGTCGAAAAGCTAAATGAAATGCCACCTGGATTCCGAATTAAGAAAGCATTCCTTTCACCAGTCTTCGTGTAGTCTCAAATTCAGATGTCAAACTTTGATTAAGAAAGAAACCAGCAAAATATACGGTCTATTTCTTTTTACGTAGTGTAAGTTTAAACTGCCAATGGTGATTTTATGAGATAGCATAAGAACACACTTCTCTGCTTGGATTAAAATTATAAATTAACAAAGCTAAATGAGGTGGATGAATTAAAATTTGTCGACAATGATGTAACAATACAGTGTTAGTCACAAAAGTAAATTACCATCAAGCATTGGCTTGAGGGAATATTTGGTACTAGTATTATCTCGTATGTTTCACTAGAGATCAAATGAAAGCAGGAATTCTCAACGCTTCAGCCCTCTCTTTACTATTCTTGCCGATGTTAGCAATATGGTTGACTGAATGGATTAGATTCTAACTTGGTTTTCCATCTTTTTCTTGTCCCTTTTTTTCGAGACTGTAATCGCCATTTTATATTTTTAATTTCGCTTTGTTTTTTTGTTTGTATTTTTATTTTGTGAGCAGCACAGTATACTAGGTTCAATTGGACACCGTCTGTGAGAAAAAGAACGCCATGACGTAATTCACTCCGCCAGAAATTTGGAAATGGCATGCTGTACTGCTTGGTATTCGCACCGGAAGCAAGAAATACATATACAGAAAAACTTAACTCCCGACTGCATTTTGGGATGAGTTCTGATCGTTTATTTAGTAATTTGTTTTGGTTTGGGAAGTTAATTACAGGTATTTTTCTCCATTTACAATTTTTGGGTTAATCGCTGTAGGCTGATGTTCTTTTTCATATTTCCTAGATATGTTTAGAAAGGATTGTGCTGTTCGTGTATTTACTATTTGTAAAGGATGTTTTGTGTGCGTAGTTTCTTTGTTTTCAATGTCTTTCAGTTACTCCTATGTATAATTTTTTTCATCGTTATCTACTTATTTTGCAGTGACTTGGCATATTACATTGT